AGTGATGATATAGAGCATATTAATCAGTTCAATAAACTCACTGCGAGTGTTAATCGATAAAAAAACATATAATAAAAAAAATACTTCCCAAAAATATAAAGAAAGAAAGAAATAGTTTATCGTGGATGTGCTCATGTTCTAAGTCGGATAGACAATGATCACTTGTGTTCAGTGGGATATAGACTCCCTCGAATTAATAGTTAGATTACTCGGGCCCTCGTGGCCAGGGGCGGATTCAGCGTCTCAATCTGACCGTAGCATTTTGGATGAAATCAACATGCGGGGCCGAAGGCCACGCCCTACCTAGGGGGGTTTGGGGGCATGCCCCCCCAGAAAATTTTTGAAATTTGAAGCCCGCAAGTACCATTTCCTGCATTCTGAGCATCGAAATTAGATTTAAAATTTGTAGAAAAGTGCCTGTTTTTCCCACCAAAATAAGAAAAAAACTCACAAAAGTTACAAAATTTATTCATCAACATACCACTTCGAACAACAGATTATCTTGAAACAGTAAGATAACAGTAGTTCGAAAGTTTCAAATGTACATCATCTTGAAACTGCGGCCCAACGACAGTCTGGGAAAATGTTTATCTGGCTAAGCAGCAGCATATATAGATCATCCCGAAACAGCAGGACAACTTATGGCAGTCAGGAAAAATATTTTCTGTATTGTATATAGATTATCTCCAAGTTATAGGAAAAATGTTTATTTATAGATCATTTTGAAACAGCAGCATAATGGCAATTAGTTTATGTTTATTTGTATATGTTTTTTGTACTAAAATTCGAGCAGTACTGCAGGAATTAGCGCAGAGCTGGGTGCGCAAATTTTAGTACTGCAGGAAATATAATCCGCGCGAAAAGCTTTGCGGTGTAATATTCACTCGTTGTTAGTAAATAATATAATGTAAGGCAATACCATGTACGAACCTATAATATATGGGATGCTAATAAAAATTAGTTATTGTTATTGTATTAGGCAAATGAAAACCATACATTTTGAAGTTTGAACTTTATACGCTTTAATGTTATCATGAATTTTGTTTTGACAAATATTGAAGTATTTGTTGTTATAGTTCTATTAAACAAACCAAAAGGAACCAACACGGAAAATTACTTGCGCGAATTTAAAGCTGCGCGAACAAGTTTCGCGAAATTTGAATGCGCGAATTTAAAGCTGAACGAAAATGAGTATACGACGCGAATTTTAATACAAGTAAGGTATACAATACATGGATTTGAAACATCTAACCATATATTTATGATACGTTATCCCAGGAAGCAGGCTCAGCTGTTGTAATTCTAAACTCTGTTAGTATACATGTAAACTACAATATAATACATCGGAGTGTAACTATTTCTATAAATTTCATTTAAACTACTCACTAGTCTTTATAGACTACAACAGGTCTACAACTGATAATTACATGAGCAAAGTCTAAGATATAAAATATATAGGAGATTAACTTACATATTTCTTAATATAAACACACATGGCATGCCAATGGCTATCAAATAGTGTGAGTGGCCATTGATATTGTTCTGCATTTTTATAATAATACGTTTCGTCAGCAAATATATGGTAACATATTCGAGACGCATGAACTGTGTAAAATTCGATATGTTATTTACATATTTAATATACTATTCATGAGACTGACCTGACACAGAGGTGATTCAAACAGCGCTGTTCTTCACAGATCACATCGCGGCAAATGCAAATTATTTAATTATGCCAATAATCGCAAACCAAAAGCTTTCGATCTGAATTCTTTCGCGCACCTTTTCGTTAAATGAAACACGTTACATTCGTTCATTATACACAGAAGATCGTGGAGTAGAAGCCATATCTTTCTCCTTGCAACGAGCGGCGATTAAAATTTACCGACTATTCGATTACAACGAGCAGCCGACACGACAATAACAAGCCAGCATCGCTCTGAAGTCGATGCGACTATTGCAAACAGTAGCATTTTGCCTCATTCTGATTGGCTTGCTTCGTCTGACCGTAGCAAACCAATCAGCACGCCGTATTTGGAAATTTTTGCAGTGGTCAGATTGAAACTGACCGTTGCAAAAATTCAGCGCTATGATTGGTTTGCTACGGTTAGACGAAGCAAGCCAATCAGAATGAAGCAAATGCTACGACTTCAGAACGATGTGATATAGTACTAGTGCAAAACCCGCAAATGCAGGCAGTATTTCGGGCGGAAATTTGAGAAATTTAATTATCCAAAATGAAATAAAAACTCGATAAAATTGTATCAATATGATTTAGTAAATTTGAAAAAAATTGCACCAAGTTTCAATGAAAATTTGAAAATATCGGCAATTAAAAATAGTATAACGTTTTAGTTTTTAATAACTTTAAAAAAAGTACACCCTGGAAAAATATATCTCGGGGAAAATCTGACCGTAGCATATGCTACGGTTGCAACGGTCTGAATCCGCCCCTGCGTGGCCGTCTAACTAATTCAACCAAGTGAAGTGAAATAAACATCTTTCAACTGAAATGCACTACCTCGGTTTATCAGGATCGTTATCGGCCCCGCTCCGCGCCTATCATCCACACCCGCCAAGCCAACCTCGTACCCAGGGTATTACCTTCGCTCACCCCCTGAGCGAAGGTAATACCCTTTACCCACAGGCGGCCCAATCTCGCAAGGGTCAGTATAGACTTTATATAGTATGAATGTATATTATATTAATGTATATTATAGTAAAAATATGTCGTAAAATATAAATTTTAAAATGAAATTGACTTGCCTATTTGATAGTGTGTGTTCTCCTTTTATTCCTCCTTTGTTGGACTAATATTTTCCAAGACTTTGTACTCGATGTTACTAATATACATGAAACATGATAAAGGCTAACGATTCCCGATCGTCGATACGACGGCACGGCACTTCGAATCGAAAATTTTCACACTCAAATCGCTTTATTCTCCAAACAAATTCGCCAGCATGTACAACAAATGCCGTTCTTCGAAAATACAGAGGTACTTCGGCGAGATGTACAAGTTTTGGACCATATTTTAACAATGGAAATCAAAACCCATTTTATCTTGAACTTACCCGGACCGAAAATTACTACGGCGAACGTCTGCGCAACCAGGCCTCCTTTACCGTTGGATTTACAGGGGGGGAGGATGCCACTAATATATTCACGATAATATTTCGAATTAAAGTATCATATTCTACCATACTTTCCAACAAAGAGCCGCTGTATATTACTTCTTCCTTAAATTTCTTCAATCTCCGTCGTTTAATTTTCTTTTCTTCGACAACATCTCGAGTTTTATACAGTATCCGATCGAAGGAGTTTTTATTTTGAATATCAAATTTCAAATAATGTAAACAGTCGCTACGCGGCCGCGATTGGCTGGCTGTTACCGGAAATATCTGCTTCCCCCCCTGTAAATCCAACGGTAAAGGAGGCCTGGTTGCGCAGACGTTCGCCGTAGTAATTTTCGGTCCGGGTAAGTTCAATATAAAATGGGTTTTGATTTCCATTGTTAAAATATGGTCCAAAACTTGTACATCTCGCCGCAGTACCTCCGTATTTTCGAAGAACGGCATTTGTTGTACATGCTGGCGAATTTGTTTGGAGAATAAAGCGATTTGAGTGTGAAAATTTTCGATTCGAAGTGCCGTGCCGTCGTATCGACGATCGGGAATCGTTAGCCTTTATCATGTTTCATGTATACTAGTAACATCGACTACAAAGTCTTGGAAAATATTAGTCCAACAAAGGAGGAATAAAAGGAGAACACACACTATCAAATAGGCAAGTCAATTTCATTTTAAAATTTATATTTTACGACATATTTTTACTATAATATACATTAATATAATATACATTCATACTACAGGGTGTATCAAAAAAAGCGCAATCCTCGACTGAAATGTAAATTGCTAAACAAATAATAGACGAAAACGTTAAAATTTACATTCATTTTAAAGCGTAGCCATTCAGCTTTCTAACAGTGGGTTGTTTCTTAAATTGGACTCATTGGTTCGCGGGTAATAATACTTTACGTTATTGCGATTGGAGATTAAAAAAATTGAGATGGAATAACAAATCGTTCTCATGAAAATAACTGTGTTTTTTTCATTAAAACAAAAACATGTTGCATTTTAATAAATGGATTGTAGCAATAAGTATAATTACGGATTTTCTTCCACTATTTTTAACACAGTTTGAAACTTCAAATGCGATATAATTTTGGCTTGGACCATCTAAGCTGACTGACATCAGCTTGCTATAATTTCTGTTTTACATTACATCGTAATTCGATGACACTCTGGCTCAGACACCAGAATGTTTTGATTCTATGATTTTTAGCTTTCGTTTAGGATTTTCAAACAACCTGGTCTCTTTTAAAATACTTTTAATTTGTTCTTACGTCAGGTTTTCCAGATGTAGTGACGACAACATTAAAGTTTAAAGAAGAAAATTCTAACATTTAAACCGACTAAACAATAACATAGTAAACTTGCATAATTAAACAGCAACTAAAAATGATAGGTTTTACTAAATCTTTTCCTGTGCAATTATTACTAGCATTGGAGACAAGGATAATAGTTTGTTTGAAAGAGAAAAGAACAGGCTTTGAAGTAAGCCTAAAAGCGTTTAACTAGAAATAGTATTTCGAAAGTTATTAAGCACAAAAGATGAATTGCGTTTATTTTGATACACCCTGTATATAAAGTCTATACTGACCCTTGCGAGCAAGCCTGCGTTTTAAGGCCTTTTAAAGCCGGTTTTCCACTTGCGAATTTTTTTGCGCGAAGCGAATTTTTCTTTTGTCTTTATCCAATTAGTTCCAGTTGAGAGACCAAAGACAAATGAAAAATTCGCTTCGCTCGAAAAAAATCGCAAGTGGAAAACCGGCTTAATGTTGTCAGTTAATTGGAAGAAGGAATCTAGCCTGCAAAGCAGGCGCAGCTGAGCGCCTGCTTTGCAGGCTGGAAGGAACCGGATGTTTTCTATAAACCAAAATGTTTGCTAGGAATCGTATTGTCCTGGAAGTTCACGATGATTCTTGAATCTTCGTTGTTGTTGCAAATTATTTTTGCTAGGGTTCGGTAGATATATTTTGATATGACCTGGCACAAAGATGGATAACTCAGCAGAGCTTCAGACATTTAAGATCGTGATCATAGGAGACAGCTACACTGGCAAAACAAGCTTGGCCTATCGCTTGTGTACTGGGAAATTTTATGAAAAACTTGAGACAACGATTGGTGTTGATTTCTTTCAGAAAATTGTCAACATTAACGACGAACGGGTCAAGGTAAGTGGAGAACTTTAGCAAATTAAAAATATTGAATGTGTGAGTATGTATGCGGCCATTGAAGCATGATAAATTATTGGGCATTCGCATTGGTCATCAAGGTCATGGCATTTTTGCGGTTGAGTATCATTGATACAATCATAAATACACGTCTTATTTTGCATCCGGTGCATTCCCTAGTCACTACATCACGAAGAGTAGACACAAATAAACACGTATTTTTTAATTTATGAATTACAATCCCAACAAGATGATAACATGATCTAGTAAAGCCAAAAAGGTTTGGGCAGAGGGGCTCAGGGGGGACAGGGGCACCGGAGGCAGGTTTAATAGTTAGGAAAAACACAGGAAATGGTGCTGGAAAGACCTTTGAAATGCAAATTTTCCCTAGTGCTCAGAGCCTGCTCAGTACCTGTAAATTTTACATCGTACCATATCATATCACAATATTTTCGAAGCCAGTAGAAAAAAAATCTTCATCTAACTCACCTCTGTTCACCAGAGCCACTACTAAGTTGAGATGGCAGGGGGTGCTGGGGGCAGCTCAAAAGGACTGCTGCCACACAAAAATCCGATGAAGGCCCTTAATTAAAATGTTTTAATTGATGCAAAACTGACTGACCCAGGCATCGATAAAATGTGTGAGCGTCCAAGCGCCGCTCGCAGGCACCTTTTACATTTTTGCAGGCACATTTTAAAATACTGACATTTTAACAATATTTAGGTCACAAAATCTAAATAAGATGTGTTTTTGCAGGCACATTTTGAATTTCGCTTGCAGGCACGAAAAAATGTTATCAAGGCCTGGAATGACCTCAATATAAATCCTAGCTGCGTCATTGCATGGCAGATAAATAAATATGCAATGAAGTGTAATATATACAAACCAAATATAAACCACTGCTTCTTCCTTATTTCAATTATGACATCATAGGGCCCCTGGAAAAATTTCATGACATTATCTGGCCCCTAGTTTTGTACCAGGCTCCGCACAACCTCTTGGAGGCCCTCATTTAAAGATCGGCCCTTGGCGGCCATAATTTAAAGATCTAATGTTTGTAGACCTTGTTCGAAGCATTCTCCTGGTTTCAGTGGAAGTATATAGTCATATAGGTGAGGCTTTGAGTTACTGGTATGCCACTGGTCTGAGTGTAACTGTCTATAGATTTTGTTGGCTTGGCTAGTCCACCATCTGGCCGTACTGTACGTACAGTATGTTCATTATTCCCAACTCAGTTTGGGTGGTTTTGCTGAGGAAGTGAGTTTAATTTATTCCTCATTTCACCCAGGTTTAATACACCTGCTCCAATATATTGTTCAGCTTGTACATCCACAGCATCTAACCTGGCTTACTGGTTACTTTTCTGTCTTGTTTAATCCAGCTCTGCATATATACGTCTGATAGAAAATGGTTTCCAGTGCAGGAAAAAATGATTTTCTTCCTGGAGCACAACCTGTCCAGAGACAAAAATTTCCTGCAGACTTAAATGGAGTATTTTTGTGCTAAATCTGCATGTACAGTGCATAAACATATAGTGTTCTAGCTGACCATGGTTTTAAATTCAAGGAATAATGTCTGTCAACCATATGTTGTTTGCGCCCATATCGGGACATGGGTGTTACTTGGTTTCCTTCAAATTTTCAATTTCTCCCCACTCACCCTCGGTACACTATAGGGTCATCATGAAGCTACGGGAACAGGTAAATGGTTGAATATAACAGTGAAACACAATAAAAGAATGAGTCACAAACACTTAAATCAGACCTGCCAACTCTCACGATTCCACCGTGTGTCACACGATTTTTGTACATTTCTCATGGTCTCACAACATCACTCAGTTTTCTCATGATTTTAATTCTTTATTTCATTTCTTGCAATTTACTTTGTTACCTCTACTTTAGTTTGATACTAAGATTTTATTCAGACAGAAATTACTTGTTTATAATTCTTAAATTCCAGGATTTTTCATTTTCATTCGTTGAAGTAAAGTTAAGTCAGAAATTCCGAAAAAATACGTTAGTTTCGGGCGAGAAGGTGCAGTTAGTTTTTGATAATTTTTTGCAGGCTAATGAATAAATTACATAAATTACAAAAATGCATCACATCCCGCTATTTAAATACAACATAGCGTCAATGAAGTTCTTATTCAACAGTTTTTCCTACTGTATTCATAAACGTATTGTAAATGTTAAATACAGTCAAATTAATTCATTCTCACTACTTTTTGTGAAATCTCCAGATTTTTTGTCACTAGAGAAGAAAATCTCCAGATTTTTTACTCTGACTCTCAAGTTGGCAGGTCTGCTTAAATGGAAGTCAATCACAAAACATGTTAATTTTAGCTTCGTGTTTACTGTAAGTGTATGCCATTCTGACAATAACAAAGTGAAACATTCTCTCCTAGATTCAAGTGTGGGATTCTGCTGGTCAAGAAAGATTTCGTAAAAGTATGACTGTTCATTACTACAGAAATGTTGATGCCATTGTGTTTGTATATGATATCACAAGGTTTGTAATTTCTTTTTACTGAAATACTGGGTAATTATAATCAATGACATCTAAATACTTTCTTTAATAGTCTCCAAATTGAAAGAAGTTAAATTTTTGACTGGGTGTAATAAACTTCTTTAATAACTTATAGAGCTGCCATAGGGTTTGTCCTGCAATCTTATGAATGATCGAATGAATGTACTTAATTTGGCCTCAAGTTTCTGTTAAAATAGCCAAATATGGATATCCAAATTTAAGAGATCATACATAGAACTTTGTGATGATATGTGCTTGCAAAATTATAAGTCAGATCATTGCTCAGAGTTTATATAACATTGAAAAACACATTCAGTCATATTCTGTGTCGTTATTTCTCGCTACCCAGGAGGTCGATATTGTAGAGATTCAACCTTTTGATGAATAAAGACCAATAGGCAATAAAGTTTGCTTGAACCGTAGGGTCTCTCTCTTTTCTCTGATTCTCTCTGCATGTTAGTGTGAATCTAACAAATTTAAGCAGGGGCCACAGAACCGGGGGACAATGGGGGCATGTGCCCCCCACTTTTTTAAAAGTGAATAAAGTGCCCTTTTTCTGGGCGGAAGTGCCCCATTTAAAGAACGAAAAAGGTATTTCTTGAATGAACGCCCTCTTTTGCTGGAAAGAAAGTGCCCTTTTTGCAGTAGTAAAGACTCTGTAAAGGCCATTTCCGAGGTTATAAAGACTCCATATTTTCAAAAAATTTCGTTCGGCTCGTGAACAACGTAAAATCGTTTGATTTTGATCATGTACAAAAGTGCCCCTTTTGGCCGATGCCCCTCCACTTTCGAAATACTTCCGCGGCCTCTGAATTCAAGGCAATAATTATCTTTATCCTGTTTGAAACGTGCTGGGGGTGGTTTGTTCATTACCACCTCACAGCAGGGCCAGGGATTGAGAGGATTCCACTTACTCTTAAACAACATGGTGGAGGAATAATTTTTTTATCTTTCTTTACCATATAGTGAACCATCATTTCAGAGTTTAACACTATGGGTTGAAGAATATAAACATTATACAATTCCAGATAAAGTTGTCAAAATTTTGATTGGAACTAAAAGCGACTTAACAGAATCAAAGAGAGTGGAGACCAATGTTGCTAGGAAATTTGCTGAACAATATGGTATGCCATTTTACGAAGTATCGAGTAAGAATGATGGTGATAAGCAAACTATTGAGACAATATTTTCATCAGTAGCTGAAAAATTGCAGAAAGAGAAACCAGTTGTTTTAAAAAGAGCAAGGGTTCTCAACAAGTCAGGTAGTCTTCAATCAAGAGGTTCTGAGAAAAGTGCGACTTTAGAGAAAAATGTGACATTAAAAGATGAGAAAGAAAAACTGGAGAAGGAAAAGAAAAAATGTTGTGGTTCGGGATCATAGCATTTAAATCAGGATCTTGAAAATGTTAGCCTGCTCAGAAGAAGGTCCGTACAGTGTGCAACTCTTATGATAGAAAATTGAAAATCTAGCTCAACAAACCATTATTTTGTTTAAGCTAGGAGCAGTTATATCCTTATTTTCACAATATTAAATACGCACAACTACAACATTCAAAATCAAACTGCTGCATACCAATCGAGATATGGTCTGGAGACTCGGGCCTCACTTGGCAAACATCAAAGGTAATGCGCGCCTATATCATTGAGGTACGATTATGTTGAGACGACTTCACCAATTGCAGATATCTTTTTAGATTTTGCTTATTATTTTGAAAGTACGCCTGAGTGATTCTAGCGGCTGTTTCAGGCTAGAGTGATTCGGCAAAACGACGCCTTTGGATGGTTGCTTATTATGCGACGTTTGCATAAACATGGACGAAATTATGGAACAAAAACTTTCGGGTTTCCAAACCATATGTCTTGATTTTTGGAGAAAAAAAATTAGCAAAAAAATGTTTAGGATAGAATAGAATTTTTATTATAGTTTTGAATTCAATTTGACAATGTATACTTTTATAGGAATGAATAAAATATTGATATGTTATAAATAATGGAATGAATAAAGGAATGAATAAATAAACGAATGGATAAAATAGGGATGTATTTTATAGGAATGAAATAGTGATGTATAAATAATAAATAGATATTTTACCGACACTGAGAAGGCTGTTTATTTACTATATCATTATTTGAGCATTTAACAACTTACTCACAAGAAAACAGTTTGGGTTCAGGCAAGGACTCTCTATTGCATCGGCTTTAACGTCCTTTGCAGATAAAGTCTTCTGAATATGGAACAGGGCAAATTATGTGGCGCCGTTTTCTTGGATCTAACCAAAACAACCAGCCTTGATACGATACGGTGGACCACAAAATTTGGTTGTCGACTGTTAATGGAGATTGGATTGTCGGAGATTTCCCTTTAATAGTTCCAATCATATATCACTTACAGTTATAGGAAGCAACGCATGCGCACTTGTTGTGTAAATGAGCTGAGATTAAATGAGTTATCAGGCGAATTGCCAATCACTCATGGCGTCCCTCAGGGAAGCATCTTGGGACCCCTGTTGTTTGCCATCTATATTAACCGACCTTCCAAGTGTTTCAGAGTCCTGCCATGTATCACCCTGTGCAGACGACACGGTTATCTACTGCATTGGTTCAAATGAGCTTTAACCAAGACCATCTGGAAAATGGCTGAATGAAAAAACCAGTGTTGTAACGAGTCATTTCAGTATCTGGTCGAGTCGAGTCCGACAGTAGGGAGTTTAAGATGCCGACAACGAATAACGGAATACGGTTGAAAGCTGGTTTTCGCATTGCTTTAAGTTTAAGGTAATTCCGCAGTAATTGTTCCCGAAATGAGAATGTGCTGAAACTTCCCAGGCATGGAGTTTATGATATACTTAAAGTAAAATCACAAAAAAAAGTCGGAGTCACCGAACTCGTTAAGAAGATATGACAATCACAATATACCACCTTTACCCCAATATGGCGCCATCTTAACGCTCATTACGAGTAACAACAAACTCACAACAGCCCGATATTTATTGACGTTTTTAGCGCGGATTTTGCTTTAGTAAACCTATCTTGTAATTATTTTTGAAAAAATATTGTATTTTGAGCAAAATGAAACTACTAACGTGTACAATTCTGATCCACAAATGTCTTTTGCACATTTCTTTACATATCTTTCTTTGAGAACATGCATTGATAAAGCATTTTTTTCAAGATCCAGAAATGATTTTTCTTTTAATTTCGGATATGAAATGTAAAATGCATTAAAGAAATAAATTATCAGTTACAAAACGGGCGTCACCGATCTTTTTAGGGAATTGTGGCATTAAAACGTGAAATACAAGTAAATAAATAAACTACAGACACAGCAACCCTAGCTACACTTTTGTACGCCTTTTTTGAAAACATTGATTTTAACGTAATTCTTTGCACGAATCTAACCAAAGATGTTTTGAAGTAACATAAAATTGTCATAAAATGATATTTTGTTTTAAACGGTACGTATAATGGTGAAATTATAAGTTATTAGATGTGCGCAGTAAAAGTGCGCAATGCAAAACTGCGGAATTACCTTAACTGAGGCAGACAAAATTTACACATCCCCAGAGCATACTTTTCACCGTAGCGACCTTGGCTACAGCGTAAAAATCACATTCTTGTGGTTGTAAAACAGAATCAAGAACATAGCACCGAACTGACTACGCAACGTTGATGAAAATTGAAAGATGAAACTTACCGAACACAAAGCCATGCACATAAAACTCACCAATGGCAATGACTTCACTCGAGTCCGAGTCGAGGGCTATCCTTTCGATAATTACGTCACACATACTTTTTGATCCTGGAGCCTCGCTCTCATTAGTAAATTACGCAAGGTGATTGGCTCACGAGTCATGAGAGCGAGGCTCCCAGGCCAAATGACGTAATTATCGAAAGAGTGTATTGTATGGTGAACAAAAATGCCTTAAAATATTTCCCTACAAGTGGAAACATGCCTAGCTGCAACGCTACCTCCAACCGGAAATTTGAAGTCAAACTCGAAGGCCAGTCCCAGTCTTTTCACGCATACGAAGATCCTTCAATCATGATATAAACACGCGTGTCTGGAGGTAAGATTTGTCTTCAAGAAAAAGATAGGAAGTTTATCTGAAGATAGCGTTCCAGTTATATTCATTTCAATGATCTGCATCGAGAATTATTTTCTTTTTCTTCAAGCCCTTTCAGGACTCTTCCCAACCTATTCAACTGCAATATTTTTGATGAATTTATCCTGAACATGTTGTAGCTGAGTTGACTCCGAGTCATTTACTCGAGAAATCAACGAGTCGAGTCATTTGAGTCTATTGACTCGAGTCTAGTCATTTTTCGTATTCGATTCGAGTCGCAGAAAATTGCGACTCGAGGCCGAGTCAATTAATGACTCGACTCATAACACTGGGGAAAACTAAAATGCATTTTAATAGGTAGAAACCGAAAACCTGAAAACAAGGTGACTTTAGCGGTTATTAGATTATAATATGGACATTATAAATAAATACAACTATATATAGTATGCATACAGTATAGCCTATATATTTTACTACATATTGCATATATTGAGACCCAAAAGAAATTATAGCAATTTTTCATCACAAAATCGTTTTTGCCTGGACGATCCGTAGCTCGGAAGTGATATAGATTATATAATCTATATCACTTCCGAGCTACGGATCGTCCAGGCAAAAACGATTTTGTGATGAAAAATTGCTATAATTTCTTTTGGGTCTCAATATATGCAATATGTAGTAAAATATATAGGCTATACTGTATGCATGTTTTTTTTTTACATTATATTAAATCTTCAAATAAATACCTTATTACATTTATATTACTGACTACTGTATACGGTAATAAGTACTGAATACTGTACACATTTTACAATAATTTTTATACACTTATAAATAATTAGGAATGAATGCTACAAAGTGTAGGTATGCACGTTAGTAATTCTTTATGGAGTATACGGCTATTTTGAGCATTGAATAATAAATAGAGGATATTACACGGCGGCGCGAAGATACGACTTTTATCTTCGAGTGGTGAAAACAATATTTTACGAACGAGCGCAGCGAGTGAGTAAAATATTGTTTTTGACACGAGAAGATAAAAGTCATATCTTCAAGCCACCGTGTAATGTTGTTTATTATATAGTCCCAAGCAAAAAATTGTGAAATTTCACGCTCAAAAGCAAATCGGAAAACGTCACGTGATCGATATCTTCACGAGTGAAGATATGGAAAATATCTCGCTGTGTATTTTTCATATCTCACTCTCTACTATATAATAAACTGTACCTAATGAGGAGGCTTTGTGATTGAAGAAATCAGCTTTTTAAGGAACGAGTTCACTAATCACTTTGAATAAAAAAAACAACTATGCAGAAAACATGTTCATAAGGATTAGCCGATTTTCTATTTCAGTTAAGGTTGCCAAAGTCAAATGTATACAATCCAAGCGCAAACAGCAAGATTCTACTGTTTCGGTAGCCTATGACCATGGGCTGGTTGTTCAAAGCTGGATTAGCGCTAATCTTGGGTTAAAATTTAACCTGCTGTTCTAGCTTATGCATTTTGTACACATCCGTTTATTTCAAAATTTCGGAAAGAAAACACCAATTGATCCACACAAGATTTCTGAAGAAATATTTCGAAGTTTATCAACAAGCTGTTGGGAAGTTTGCTTTGAATTTTATTAACCAAGAGTTAAGTTAACCAGCATTCAAACATGCAAACGGCCCCATATAATAGCTTATGTTTGCATTTAATTATTGGCGACAACACGTGCTGATAACTATGTTTGGGACAACCTTCACTGAAATAACTGTATACTCCAAAAGCACATTAAAAAAATATTTGGGTTAACTTAATATTCCTGGTGGTTACTTTAACTTTTTCCCTACAATAATCTAATAGTGAAATTTAACCATATTAACACCGCTCAACGCTTTGACGAACAGACTCTTCGTCAAGCAGACGTCACCGAGTCTGACTAGAAAGCATTGACTGAGGTGATTTCGCATTTTGACGTTTAGTTAATTTGAAGACAAAAAAATTGAAAACTCGAAAAAATCAAGACTTTCAAAGTTTACGAGCAAATTTACCTTCGTTCGAAAACTACAAATTGCATCGTGTGGCATTATCGGGTAAGGTCTAACTTTACTCCAAGTGAAAAAAACACTAAAGTTTGTTATTTCAGACAGATACAATATCGACCATAGGGCAGGTGTCCATGAAGGATGATTGGTTGGACAAATAGTAAAAGTTCACTGTAATAAATAACTTGTTTATATACACTAGTTCATAACATCTAATGTCATTATTGATACCATTTATCGTGGTCTTGATGGACTGTGTTTAAAACTTGATATCAAAAGGATCGTTAATGAAGGATGTATCAGGTGGCGGGGGGATTGGAGGGGTTACTTCAAGGTCATAACATGTGAGTGATTGATAAGCATTGGGACCGTCTGTAGCTTGAGGTTTTTTTCGTAATCTTTCATGACGAAGCCTGTGGAACACATGACATATATAGTGAAATACCATACATTTACATGCACCAATTCTTCATACACTATAAACTAACTTCCTGTAAATACTGGGGGACCCCCAGACGTATATTGTTCCGTTTTATTTAAACAGTGACACACTTCACCCATTCAAAAATATAAAATTCTCCCAAATTATGTTTTGTTTTGACTATATTGTTACTGTGATTGTCACCAGAGAACGGCATAGATATCTTATATAAACTAGATAACGCATCTCTTTTAGTAAAATTGAAGCCAACAATATTCCAGCGGTTACCCCCATTTGAATAGATGGCGGCCATGTTGGAGTTTCCCACTCGCTAATAAACGCTTAAAAAACAACAATAACTTTCATCATTTGAAAAGTTTGAAAATATCTTTGGAATAGGTTTAACTTAATGTTTAAGTTCCCTGTTTAAGAAATAGAAAACATACGAGTCTTCTCATTTCATGGGAATATCCTGAATCTGCAATCACGGCTTCAATTTTTGAATTGCAGAATAATTAGATGCACTATCTAGTGTATATAAGATATCTATGGAGCATGGACGCTGTGTCGTGACGTGAGAACTGGTCCCCATGCAGTATTAAGGCCCACTTGCACTTGCAACTTTTGTTACGATTTTAGATGCGATTTTCGTCTGATGGATGTGAACGAGTTAGGAATTATTTAGATGAGGTTGACTATATTCAGATCATTCGTAACTCATCAGCTCGTGCACATGCATTAGAAGAAAATTGCACTAGAAATCGCAGCACGAATTGCAAGTGTACATGGACCTTCAGGCAGAAGTTAAGATATAAGCTATTAAGCTAAGATATAGTGAACTAGTGAACTAGTGAAGTCGTTAAGCTGAAAGTAAAACCAAACTCTATAACTCAAATCTCGAGATATTGGACTGAAAATATTTCTTGACTATACCAACCGTTTTCCCATTCCGTTCTTCCAAATTCTATCTTTTAGTTCCTTGGCAATCTCCTGATCATCAAAGCTAAACGAAAATAATGTATATAGGTCTAATAGTGAAACTTGATCGATAAGATAATTAGCTGCTTCTGAAACTCCTTAAGCTTTCTAGCCGGAGGTTTTTTATGTAACATTAAATATGGTGACGTGTGATCTTCACTAGAAAGTAGGGCGAAAACGGGATAAATCGCCTTAGAGAATGGTCGCAACCAAAAAGAGATTTTATCTATTGGCTATTTGATCTTCTTTTAAGTAAGGTACTAAGTGTGTATATTAGAAACGATTCAAACTAACTGTTTCATACCTCTGTGCAGGATATTCACCGCTGATTGAATGTCGTCTGAGCATGTTGGGCTGAAGAAAGAATGTTATCTGTTAATAAAGCTCAGCACAATGGTGAAATTATCTGGGGCCTGTTACACGATACCGGATTCACCAAAAACGACATCCAACTTGGCAGTTTTTTTTTTGCACCCTTAACCTTTGAATTGCGACTATAGTGGACAAACTAAAACGAACGTTATAAATAACTAGATTTTGGACATCTAGCTCGAGAGAACTGACAGGTGAAGGGTTTTTGTCAATGGAAAAATTTCGAGCGGACGATTATATACATTTTTCAGACCCAACCAGGAGCAGCTGTGATAAATGCAACTAGCTGCGAAAATTACTCGAAATTTCCATCTACAAAAACCCTTTAACTATATTACTCCTGAACGGCGTATCTTGACATACATCCGTCGGAGACTCACTGTATCGACATGTATGTAAAAAAAAGGTGAGACATCGTCAATGAAGTATTTGAAAGGTGTGATTTGTGAAAATGGTTTCCATACAGAAGCTGAAAAATACTGATTCAAACTCTTCCACAAAACAATACTGATGCTTTCAAAGGTAACTTAGAATCGAAATGAACCAACTTACGTCTTTTCCAGCACCCACAGTTTCCATTTCATGTTCGCCATCCAGATCTTCATCATCGTCAATGACGTCAACCAACTCGTCATCACCCTCAAACATGGGATGTTTAGGGATACTTTGAGGATCAACCAGAACATCATAGGGTACCATGGGATGTTGAAAAGATACTTCTTGATGAATATCCCACATTTTAGGTTGACCAAATGTTCCTTAGAAAAAGGACAAGTTGACAATCATGTTTACTTTAGTAGATCCCTTAGAAAGGTTGAAATGAAGTAGAAATTTATATACATTTATTAGACCTAACCAGGAACAGATGCGAAAAATGCAAATTTAGGTCCCTGGTAGGAATCGAACCTGCGGTCCTGTGATTCCGGTGCAGCGCTCTAACCAACTGAGCTACAGAGGCCATTGTCGAGCTCTAACCAACTGAACTACAGAGGCCAGTTGTCGAGCTCTAACCACAAATTCATGTATATATACTAGGGTACTGTCACATGTATGTTATGTACTATTTAAAACATGAGTAGGAGTGTTTTTGCGCCTCGCGTTTTATATCTGATAAAACACGACGACGAGTGTTTTGAATAGCTTTTAAAATACGACTACAAAAGAATACTAATTAGGATGAACATTATATAATCATGCTAATTAGGATGAACAATTATATAATGCCACATGTGTTTTATCAGATATAAAGTCACTCCACGTGACATATTATGGCTGACATAATTTTCCAAAAGGTTTATGAATTATTAATGATATTTTAAGTGTAAATATCAACCTAGTATATATATACACGAACTTGTGGTTAGAGCTCAACAACTGGCCTCTGTAGCTCAGTTGATTACAGCGCTGCCCCTGAATCGCAAGGCCGCAGGTTCGATTTCTGCCAGGGACCTAAAGTTGCATTTTTCGCAGTTGTTCCTGGTTAGATCTAACAAATGTATTTATTATATAAAGTATAATGCTTTATAGAGATTTCGAGCACTGATAAAAGTGATAATCTCACATGTGAGATTATTCATGATAGTCTCACATGTGAATATTATCGCTTTTCAATTATTGCTTTTCTGTAAAAATTATCGCTTTTCAAAGACTGTCCTTTATATAATAAACAGAAAAATACATGGGTGCTTGGAAATACCAGGTTTATTTCTCGTGTTGAACATGATATCTCAACACTCGAAATAAATCTGGTATTTCCGCGCACCCATGTATTATTCTCTATGTAAATTTCCACTCGATAATCCATCTACAATACCCTTCAACTATTATTCAATGGAGCGAGATGTCAACAAAATCTTGGAATGAAGCATACTGTTTACAGGGTACAGAGTGTGGTATCGTGCAAATTGTCTCGCATTATTTATTCACTGAGTAGCTTCCTATTGGCCCGTGCATGAGGATTCGTGGATTTTGCTATATCTGTCCGAAACAATCGTAGGTTGCTTGAAATATATTCCTCAGTGTATCAACTCTTACAATGTTAATGATTTTCCAACATTGGGAGATGGATTGTTTTCAAATTGTTTAACATTCTCAAAGCTAGTTAGAAACTTTTTGAAATGTACAGTAGGTGCATAAGATTATTTAATCAATTGAGTAAATTTTGTATGAAAACAGAAGCTAACATCTCTTACCTACGAAATGTCCATTTAATGTCCACATTCGTACTGTGCAATCTACAGATGATGTCAGCAAGGCATCATATTCTTCAGAAATATCCAAACTGGAAAACACCAAAACAAAAGAAAAAATACGCATGACCGTGGAGAAAAAGAACAGGTCCTTTACATTTATTTAGTTGTAGAAGGACGCAGTTTAACCTGATCGAGTTGAACTTGATCGAGGTTGATGGCAGTCTCTGGCTGATGACTCATGTCTCAACAAGGAGCTACGATGGATGGATTACAGTAGTTTGGGATATTTCTCAACGGACTCTGTCAACATTCACTGTAAGAGGAAACCGGTAGAGCGTTGACTAACTTTTCTCACACAACTGTCGTGAGTCTCCAATGAGAAATGAACCAACGATTTAAGAGATGAAAGGCGTTTCCTTTGACGACTGCATCACCCAAGCCCGTATATGGAGACATGGGCCTAAGCTGCAACATTTGGGACCCATGGCTTGCCAGCTGACAGAGGGTAAAGCTTATCGAGTAAAGCCCTATATTTGGGCTGTTGTGGGCTGTATTATATCCTGTTGATCACTCTGGAAAAATAATCTTGTCTTACAATAATACAGTATATACAGTGCTAAATTTTTTCCACCTTGTGATTTCTTGTACATGTGCCCTCCAACCCTTGATACCTAAAATAGAGATAAACTTGGATTTATTAAACACACTTCAATATAACGTATTGGAGTACTAGAATACTAAAGTAAACTCTTTTTTTATAAAGACGGCGCCAAAAGCTGGTTTGTTTTGCTCACTTCGATATGCCCTCTCTTATCTGCCTAATGACATCGTTATGAAATATTTCTTTGGTTGAAATGTACATTGGATGAATTTAGATCATGTAGAATTATCTCTCAACAACATTTGAATTTACTGTAATGTTTTCTAAACTATTTAGTAGTTTCTGCAATTTCGTATGTCATATAATTTAAACCATAAAACTTACGTTGAGGTGGATCATCAGACTTTTCGTACAAACAATAATTTTGTAAATCCCAAATAGTTACAAATCCTGCAACGAAAATAGAAGGTGTTGTATGGAGGCAGAGTACCATGGGTTCTTGCAAGATACCATGGGTTCTTGCAAGATAGTACCATGCATGGGTTCTTGCAAGATAGTACCATGGGTTCTTAAAAGATAGTACCATGGGTTCTTACAAGATAGTACTATGGGTTCTTACAAGATAGTACCATGGGTTCTTACAAGATAGTACCATGGGTTCTTGCAAGATATATAGTACCATGGGTTCTTGCAAGAAAGCAGATACCGTACGTACCTCCATGGTCAGCGGTTATTAATATCGTGTTAGCTTTATCGGTCTTCATCGTGGTGACTTCAAAATTTGACTGAAATATAAAACAAAGCACTATAAGCCAGTGCCATTTCGTACCTCAGATAGGAATTAAAAATATTTACCGGTAATATAGTGCCATAAAGTGATCCGCCATTGTATACATTCCAGAAGTGAACAATGCCTATAACATCAAACATCTCATTGATAAGACAAACAAAACTAATGACATCAACTTCGGCCCACTTCGGCTGTAGATTTTTATAGAAAATTTAAAATAAGAAACTGAGCAAACAAAAAGAAAAATAATAAAACAAATATTGACTTAAGGCATTGAAAGATATTTTGTGACATACATTTGAAAGAAAAGAACAAATATTACGTGCAATTCTAAGCTGAAGATATCATAATTATTTTGAAGAATTTAAACCCTCAAATGCGGATGTCAATTACACCTTTTATAAAATAAGTAATAAAACAATTGTTGGATTCGTTTTTGCATGAAAAGCTTCAGTTTGTGCTATCCACCTCGGTTTTCAGCTTCGGCAGATAACAAACTTTGTCCTTGATTATTCTTCAGATATCATGCTCAACTTACTTCAACAATATATATATATATATATATATATATATATATATATATATATATATATATATATATATATATATATATATATATATATATATATATATATATATATATATATATATATATATATATATATATATATATATATATATATATATATATATAGCAAGCAGGAAACAATGTTGTTTAAGATATTTCAAACAATTATTTTAAATAATGAAACGATAAACAGAACAGGACAATCTACACGATAAGTAAAGGCTGGTTTCATTATCGATTTATTTTCTTCACAGTATGCTTTATAAAGTGTATAGGTAGTATAAGCCTATTTCAGACCTTGTGGTCCACTGGTAACAAGCATTGCTGAGGATTTCTTTCCAGCTCTGGACGTCAAGAATACCAATGAACTAACAGCATTTGGTCCGCCACCTGGGTAGAAATAAACAAATGAACAGACAGTGTGTTTCACAATGATTCGTCCATTCCTCGAGCTAGAGTCTATGACTATGACGTGTGCAATAAATGTGAAGGAATTGTCTTTGTTGTAAATGTATTCGTGATGTGTTCAATAGTGAGTCAATATATAGAGCATTCGTCATACAACAATTAAGAAATACTTAGCACCCAACTTTTTAACTACAAAATAGTAGTTAACTGTAAAATATGCGATGGTCAGATTGTCAAAGCAGTTTAACTCGACAAAGGGTAGCAATTTTATAAATACACCCGTGATACCTCCATCACATGTAAAAACCCACCCTAGCGTGTTTATTCATGTAAGTTGTGGCCGGCAGCTGGAAATGAGCATATGAACAAATTTGGTATGAAACCGCGATAGGACGTCTATTACCTTCTGATTTATTCACTTGAAACGGAGAACGAATGTGGCAAAATATATGTCCGGATACCATATTCCAAACGATTACCTATAAAACATATCAGCATAGTTTCCAAAATAATCCTTGAAGTAAAGCAGAAAAAATCCAATGAAAACTGACCTCGCCATCAAAACTGGATGTAGCTAACAAATTAGGTGGACATGAAACCACAGATAAAATGTCTTCCTTATGACCATTCGTCTACAGTAGGAAGATAATATAGAGAAGGAGTTAGAACAAAATATACTAAAACTGTAGTCAAGTATTCATATTAAAAATATGTATTTTTCGCTGTGATCGCTGGCAACGATCTCACAGACATTCTAAACATTTAAACATATTTAAGCTGTAACGGCTTTGTATAGCTTTTAATCTTTTAACCGACGAAGGTTGAAGATTTTCGATCAGAACGTCTTTTAGCTGTTTTCTAAATAAACGTTTTCATACGTTTTTTAGTTAGAGTAAGTTGAATATACGAATATACGCTTTGGAAGTAAATTCATCTGTTTCCAGTTCATGGCAACCAGGTTACATATTCTAATATGTTACCTGTTTAAAAACATTTTCCGAGACGTCATCTCTCGTGTGAATAGGTGCCATTTTAAATTACCGCTGATAAAGACACTTGACCAGAGTGTCGAAACGTTTGGTCATGGATGTAATTTGTTCGGGAATTGCATTAATTTATTTAAAGCCGCGTACAGACGAGCAAGTTTTCCTCGACAAGTTTCTTTAAAAAGTTTACCTTAATTCTCGTGTGTACTGCCAACAAGTTTTCCTTGACATGTTTCATGACTGCTTGTGTGCCGCCTTTTGTTTGCCAAGACCATAGAAGTATATCTTTCATGTACACTTGTCAAGTTAACTTTCCTTGGCAGCCTACACAGGAACAAACTTTCCTTGTTCAAAAGCTGGCATGACAAGCTTTGGAACAAGGCTCCTTGGCAAGGAAAAATTGTCAATTTGTTGCCGTACACACGAGGAAAAATTGTCAAGGAAAACTTTCTTGTCTGTTACAGAATGTTAGCCAGAAGTAAAAAAAATCCGCGTTTACCTGAAATTGGGAAATTTATTTTAGCCTGAAGGAGGGCATTTCTTTGTGGGTCTGGAGGCATGCGGTTGCCCCCTCTCGATTTTTAAAATTTTTGTGTCTTTGAAATGGCATTTCCCGAATTTTGGGAGTAATTTTGAGCAAATGTAGTTATGAACATGTTTTTAATGGCGTATTAACAACATTGAATTTCTATAACTATATTTTTTGGCTGACCCAAATTGGGAAATTGTGGCCTCAAGGTAATTGGGAAAACCGCGTTTAACGCGGAATTTTTGACTGTAGCTAACACCCTGGGGCTGGTTGTATAAAAAAGTGGTTAAAGTTAACTATAGTTAGTGGAAACGTCATCCAATAAGAAGCGCGTATTTGAGAGTTAATCACTATTTAACTACAAAATAGTGATTAAAAAGTGATTAAGAGTTTTATACAACCGGCCCCTGGTGCATGGGGCTTAAACGTGAGTAGTGAATATGTCCGAGAATATACATCTTTCTCTGTACAAAGAACTTCCAGCTGGAAATAAAAAGGTGAATCGTTTTGAGAGAACTCACCAAGTCATCATCCCATCTTATATATGGTCGTTGTACATGATGAAAGTCTGATGTATCGTCCTGTAGGTTAGATATAAAATTAGATTTATCACTTGACTCAGCATCCTTATCTTGAATAGTAAAGTGGAAACATTGTACTTACGAGAAAAACGTTTATTGTTCTGTCCCACCCAACGGATATAATATATCTACAAGAAATAGAAAATTGCAAAAGATCCTTAAAGATTAGAGAAAATTACACTGTCAGACAGTATAGAATATAAAGTTTTCATTAGTTATAAATATATTTGCAAGGTGAAATAAATACTAACAAACTCCAGACGTACTTATTTCTATTCATTACAACATATGTTAATGATGTCACTTCATCGCTGTCGGTATCTGAAAAGATCGCATTTTCATCAGGTGTTGAAAATATTCATTTGGATTCCACAGTACTTTTGAATCCATAAAGTACTTCTTTATATTACTTACCTTTTTGTAATGTTCGGAGACAATGCCCATTGTTGTAATTCCAAATTTTTAACCGACCATCCCGCCCTCCAGTAATCAACCTTAAAAAGAATGACTATCTTGATAAAACAAACGGCGTAAGCTAATTTATTTTTTTGTGGTGAAATGTGAACTAAAAAATCTTCCAAAAAAGTTAAAAAAAGGTAGCCTAACGATAGTCACAATACGAAAATGAATTGCATCAAGCTACAAAGACTTCGTACTAAGCAGAATGTATACCAGAATTGACAATATTTTGACAATAAAAGCTATATTTTTGTTTGAAATGCTCATGTGTACTGGTAGATAGGGAAGAATACAATTTGCGAGCTTGTGCGTACGCGCGATACAACTACTTCAAAAATAACTGAGAACGTCGACGTTTCAAGCGAAGGACCTTCATAACTTCCAGACGCCGTTGCTCGAAACGTCGAGCACATTAGCTCGCAAATTGCAAGCTAATCTATATAGTAGGGTCGTTGCTAAAGGGAATGGACGAGAGGGAGGTTTTCAAGATGGCGGCTACTTTTACTATAGATAGATATATAGATAGATAGATAGATAGACTTTATTTATACACGCTAACCCCGTCAACCGAGACTGATTTCCACGAGGGGCGTGTGCAAAAATAGAAAAAATTCCATGAAGAAGATATTAGGAGCTTTTTTTTCTGTGTTGGTGTTGTGTACTCAGGTGAATATAATGTTTGTGATGTTACTCTGAGTAGCTCAGTTGGCAAAGCATTGGGCTAGTATTCCAAAGGTCGTAGGTTCGATTCCCACCGTGGCCGGGCATATTTTTCAAGCTCGCCCGGTGTGGATATACACTCAGAGTAACATCACAAACATCATATTCATTTAACACTTTATACATCATTTTATTTAACACTTTATACATCATTTTTGCCTTAGCTTTCTTCCTTTCTGTTTTGAGTGGTTCCCAGCCTAGAGCACGTAAAGCAATAGAATGATTTACGACATTGTTCATATCCGTAATAACTCTGGCAGCTCTATTTTGTAGTTTTTGGAGTCGTTTTGATTGCTTTTCACCAAACACGTTCCATACTTCACAGCAGTAATCAAAGTATGGGCGAACAATAGCATTATATACCGTTAACAATAGCATTATATATCGTTAACAATAGCATTATATATCGTTAACAATAGCATTATATATCGTTAGAACGTGGAAGAATCAACAAACAGGTACTTAAAACAATGCAAATCCTTATACCCTAAACTTTACCTTAAACCTAACCCACATGCTAACCCTAACATTAACCATGAGTTTAACTTGAAAACCTCTCGTCCATCCCTTTTAGCCATTATCATTATAGCAGTTTCTTGAATTCCTAATTGGCCAAAAAGAGTTATTGTTCGAAGCAGGACGTGGAAGATTTTAAGGTCTTTAAAAGTCTCTTAAAGAAAGAAAGAAAGAAAGAAAGAAAGGAAGAAAGGAAGGAAGGAAGGAAGGAAGGAAGGAAGGAAGGAAGAAAGAAAGGTTTGTTTTGAAAACCTGAGCTGTATAGTTATATAACACCTCACCTTCTCTCACTTGAATCAAACGCTACACATGTGACACCGCTACTACCATGAGCTTCACTAAACTCAAATACTTGATTCCCTGTTTCAATGTCCCACACTTTGATTACCTAAAATAGATGTTTCAAATATGAATGAATGATGCAGGATAGGGCGTTCATTATTGTTTGGAAGTACAGGTCTAGAAATCGAGAATTTTTTTGCAAAACAATAGAAAATCGTGCTACATAGAAGCAAAATTCTGGTTGAATTTTTATTATAATTTCTGTTTACAGTGAAAATGTTTACGTCAATGAATGTCCGCTATAAATAGTTAAATACTGTAGTTCATATGATATGCTTTTTGTATTTCCAACATTTGTGTATTAAAAAACAATCACTTACTGATCCTTCGGATGCGGTCACCACATGTTTAAAACTTCTGTTAAATTTTACACAGTAAACAGGTTCTTTGTGTGTCATAGTTAAGTCAGATGACGTCAATCTAATAAAGACAGAAATATATTTGTTTGATCAAATTTATTAAATATTTTATGGATAATGGCAAATATAGTAACTTAATAAGCTTGAATTTAAATCTCGAACGGTCGGTGCTAGTGTAGCTGGCGAGAATAACAAGAGAGCTGCGATAGGCAATTCCAGCTTTTAGTTTATGCGTGCAGGGGGATGGGATGTAAGGTGTCATAATGCTGATTATGCTGAAAAAATAAAACTGGTGGCCGTGTAAACACGGAGTAATAGCTTATACTTGTAAATATTGCAATATTTCGGTTGTTTCGGCAGTTTTTATTGAAAAATTTCAGCTTAATCACCAATATGATACCTTACTTCCCGTCACTCCCTGCGTGCATAAATTAAAAGCTGGAATTGCCTATTGAGAGAGATACAAACTATACCTGAAAAATATAAGCAGAACTTCCACGCTTCGACCAAGGCCCTTCGTTGGGAAGGGCAGACGAAGAGCTTTCGCTCAAACTGATGTCGAGAAGTTCTGCTTATTGCTTATTTTTTTTCAGGTAGGTGTATCTCTCTCAATCCGCAGCTGCCTAAGTTTGAATTTGGTGAAAAATAAACATCCTTTTCTCTTTCCGTTAATCTATATTACAGTATGAAACTAAAATAGTTATGTCTCAACTATAATCTTGAAGTGTCTGTGCTAGTGTAGGTAGTGCCAATAATGTAAACAAGCTTGCGTTGGTAGGGATGCAACTACCTGAAAAATATAAGGAGAATTTCGACGTTTCGAGCGAAGGCCTTTCGTCTGGAGTTACTACACCAGTAACACAGTATTATATCACAGAAATCCAGTGACAACGATGGTCAACCTCAAGTCATTTCTCAACTACTCTATTCACTTCGTTTCAGGGGTTTATCGCCAACCTGAATATCTAGTGGGGCTGCAAACCTTACATGGTACTTAGAAACTCACCTACTCTTCAGTGTTAATAAACCAACGTGGTCAGACGTTGCTATGGCAACTGTCTTGTTGAAAAAGTTATAATGAACAGCTGTAAAAAAGAGAACGAAATTTTAATTATTTTATGAAAAATATGTTGTAGTTTCGGTAAGAGGGTGAAGTTTACAAATTATAAATTTCATAGAAATGGCAGTGAAACACCCTGGCTTTACTTTTTGATGTTCGATAAAACAAGGAATGCAGCGTGTACTGACCTGCCAAATCTCCTCTTATTTTGTGAGCTTTCCCGCCAACACTGTACAATACGCTCTGATCATTGAGATCCCACACCTAAACCAATTTAGTACAAAGGAAGTAATGTTTTCGACGTTTCGTAAGATTTTTAATGCTGGTTAGCTCATGTCAACACCTGAGCCGAGCTTATGTGAACACATGGGTGCAGCTAATGCAAAAAAGGTTGTCCTTTGCAAACCTTAAACTCTAAACCCAAAACCTTAAACTCTAAGTGCGCAAAGCATAACGATAGCATCATTAAATCAGTTTAGAAATCATATATGGGGCCCATTTCCTAGAGACATGGTAAATATCTCCTTACGAGAACAAGTCATTCACAAATAGCTGCAATATTCAACTACAAACCTTAAAACTTGTTCTCCCATTAAGCTTTGCGCGCTTAGAGTTTTTAAGTTTTAGAGTTCAAGGCTTGCAAAGGACAACCTTTTTTGAATTGGTTGTATACCGTACACTCATACCCAGGCGCTTAATAAAGAAACTCGCGCTAACCACTTCAGTGTTGTATACAGATCAATGGTTAAGCTGGGCGAGCTTGGAGGGTGTCCTCTCAAGCACCCGCGCTCGTTCGCAGAGTTTAACCACTGATCTATGTATTACAAAGAAGTGCTTAGGGCGATTTTCTTTATTAAGCGCCAGGATACGAGGCTGAGCAAACACCGCGGAAAAACGTCTGCGCATGCGTCAACATTACTGAAATCTGCATTGCGAACGTGATGTCAAGTGTTCCGAAGGTTGACGCAAAAATGTCCTCGGGAGATGAAATGACCTTTTCAAAAGATACTATTCGCTAAGATAAATCTAACCTCCTCAAAAAGGAAATGATCTGCCTCTTGGTCACCTGGTATGCACCAAGGGATTTCTTGTATTGTTTTTCTTACGTAAGAGATTGGTACAGACACGGTGGCATGCTTCCCCTGCTAATAGTGTGTTCGAATTAGTGAAATTTAAAGCCATGGTCTACACACCTTAACAGTCTTGTCCATAGAGACACTGAAAACCCTGCTGTCTTCAGAGGAAACGTAAAGATAGCAGATTGGAGCTGTATGACCACGAAGAATTCCAGTTGGTTTACTGAAAAAAAATTATATAAATGTTTAGTGTATTGTTCTTATTGAGCTAGGGAGGGCTTGGCTCGCTAACCTTCAAGAAGTAATAATATATAGACATTGGTCGTTACTAATGTGCGAGGGAACTGACTCAGTGTTAAACACTGAATCAATTCTATTCCCTCAAACATTTCTTAACTTATCTATGCAAAATTCCTACTGTGATCACAGAAACGTTGATGGCGTAAACCAGCCTTTAACCTCTCTATTACTTAACAATGCTATACAGGATTGCCGAGAGCTTGTCAACCAAAAATGGACTGAAGAACATTTCTATTTTAAAATGGCTTATCTTGGTCGCTTGTCTTCCACACTCAGATACAGTTGGTTATCTTCAACAACGAGAAACTCACCTTGGGACATATGGATTCCATAAACGAATTAAACGATCCATACCTACCAAATATAATCAGTATCAATGACGAGAAAATTGAATATACTAGCAACAAAAATATACAGTATATACCCTTTCATATTGTCCCGAATACTAAATAATATGTAGGGATAATAATCTGTGTTGTGCTCAAATGGAGTCAAATCATTAGAGCTGCTCCCATCGGTTCATTAATAATTGGTTAATCGTCATCAACAATCGATTAAGAGTATTGAATAAATCTATACTAGACATGTCCAGTTAGTGTCGCTTCCAAGATGGGGACATGTTTTAAAATTTTTGTTCGACAGCCAATGGCAGCGCTAATGGCGGCAGAGAAATAAAAAAACAAGTCGTGTTTGTTTGTTTGTTTGTTTGTTTGTTTGTTTGTTTGTTTGTTTGTTTGTTTGTTTGTTTGTTTGTTTGTTTGTTTGTTTGTTTGTTTGTTTGTTTGTTTGTTTGTTTGTTTGTTTGTTTGTTTGTTTGTTTGTTTGTTTGTTTGTTTGTTTGTTTGTTTGTTTGTTTGTTTGTTTGTTTGTTTGTTTGTTTGTTTGTTTGTTTGTTTGTTTGTTTGTTTGTTTGTTTGTTTGTTTGTTTGTTTGTTTGTTTGTTTGTTTGTTTGTTTGTTTGTTTGTCTGTAAAAGGTTACTTCAAGGACCCTAATTAATTTAAACGTCCTCAGATCAATGAGATCATTGAATACCTATTGAGAAGTTCGATCGATTACATATTAAGTTCTTCTTTATGTGGATGTGTTGAAGGTCTAAATCAGGCATCACAGTGGTCACAGTCTTGGCGTTAAACCATGCAGAGCGCTCGCGCTCGATTCTCGGTTGGGGCATTAATTAGCAATTTTTTAGCAAGCTATTATTCGACTTTATTTTTAAATCACTATCACATTTAAGGAATTTGTACAGAAAATATTCTCTCACCACCAGTAACAATGACATTCTTCTCTCGTGAAAAGTCAAACGTCTTAACTCCTTTGTAAATTCTGAAAACAGTTTGATCAGCATCTTGGCGGCGTCTTGGTTGATTATCTCTTCCAACTGCGCCATGAAATATTTTTCTTTGACCAGCAACATTTGAATGTTGATCTCGCCCAGGTGACTCCATGTATGTACTGCCGATTGTTTGACCTGAAGTGAGTTTGACATAAGCTTACAAACAAGGAAACTACATGGAGAATATAAGTTTGACCTAATTTGATAAATGCAAAGCTACAAACAAACTGCATTCGCATTGCTACGCGCTTCCCTATTTACACTCTTGCTCTTCCAATTATCTTGAATTATATATTCACACAGCCATCCTTTTCCCATTTTTAGAAAAAAATGGGAAAAAATTTCAGTCAAACATGTTACAATCTGTTTTATTCTTGCTTTCGTTTATCCCATAAACCGCATTTCATTTTATCTCATTCTATTTTATCTCGTTCCACTCAATATATTGCATTACATCGCATGTCGTTCTGTAATCCCGATCTCATCCAATCCAATCCTACGCTATTCTAGTACAATCTATTCTATTTCAATTCATTCTCTTCAATTAATTTTATTATAATTCTATTCCTATTTCACTTCATTCATTTCAGTTCTATTCCTGATTCCCGCCGATGTGTTTCTACTGTACACCTGTCACGTTTTAGGAAGAGTTGCTATTTTTTAGACTTTTGTAATTTTGTATTCTTTTGTATTTTAAACTTAACCCTATAATCCTAACCCTAATTTTAATCTTAATCCTTTCACTACTCCAAACCCTATATAATCCTAACCCTAAAAGCATAAAAATAGTAACTGTTCCTAAATCGTGACTCATATGTTCTACTCACCAATAACTAAGGCCGTACTTGGATCATTGGAACATGAGATGACAGCGCGAAGTGATTCATAGTACCTTAACTAAAGGAAATATCGTCAACAGAAAGAACGGTGTGTGACAAAATAATCATGACAATCCCGTCTAGGCAACACCAAGCCCAAACAAAAAATGTTGGTTTCAGGTTTCCGACCGACCTGTTAAAAATGTCTCTGTGGCCATAAACAATTTATTGACATATTTGCAAAGATTTCCCTTTTTTACCAGAATATTATTTCTGTTTAAAGGTGACATGACACGAATTTTTTGTTGTCTGATCTGAAAGAATTCTCAAAAATGTAAACTTCTTTTGCAAATTTTCCCACATGTTCTTCCTTGGTGAGATATTCAATTTTCCTGATATGCACTGCAAACAAATTTACGTCATACTTTACATAATGAGCTATCAAATTTTTGGAAATGTATGTTTTTATCCAACATCATCATTTGAAAAAAGGAAAAACGTATAAGAAAATCTGCAAAAGAAGTTACTTTACAGCTCTGAGAATTCTTTCAGGTGTGACTGAATAAAAAAATTCGTGTCATGTCACTTTTAACATTTTGTATATATTTCCATCATGTCTACAGTAGTTGTGAGTCAGTGGCAGTTTTAAGCTTGAATCTATGTGTTTGTATACATTTGTCCATAATTTTGTGTCACACACAGTATATACTATTTAAAACACGAGTAGGAGTGTTTTATCATATATAAACACGACAACGAGTGTTTTGAATAGCTTCAAAAACTCATTAATAATTCATGAAGCAATTATCCAATCTTGAGTAAGAAATTAGTCACGTGCATACGTCTTTATACCAGCTAAAGAACACTTTAACAAAAGACCATTGTTATGCAAACTATATTAAGATTTTTATATAAAGATTTTTATATAAAGATTTTTATATAAAGATTTTTATATAAAGATTTGACTTATTATGCATACGTTTTTGAAGCCATTTAAAAAACTCGCGGGTCGTGTTTTATTAGGTCTAAAGCCACTCGCGCTGCGCGCTCGTGGCTTTAAACCTAATAAAACCATCCTGCTCGTTTTTTAAATAGTACTTAAAATACGACTACAAAAGAATACTAATTAGGATGAACCATTATATAATCATACTAATTAGGATGAACAATTATATAATGCCACATGCTTTATCAGATATAAAGTCACTCCACGTGACATATTATGGCTGACATGATTTGCCACATGGTTTATGAATTATTAATGAGTATTTTAAGTACTTTTTAAAACACGAGTAGGAGTGCTTATCAGATATAAAACACCTTAAAAACCTATCTGATGAGGTCAATAGCGAAGTAATTTTAAAAATAAACATTGTCTAAGCCGAGAAATCAAAGCCAAAGGTAAAGCTTATGTAAATAAACATGATTTTTACCGCTTATAAAACCACTGATACGGTAGTGATTTCCTTTGTCTTTTTCTCGTGAATTATTGAGTTTTTAATTTTTTTTATAAAATAATATTTTTAAATAAATGTGTTCCCGACCTGTACCTAACCTTATAAAACATAGCTACATGTATAAATCTGAAACCAACTTTCTATTTTCCTGGACCAAGAAAAACCGGCTATGCCTACCTGTGAAACCCAGTCATCGTGAACTTTCCACCTGCAAAAGCAAAGTCGTGCAATATTAGAGAGACAAAACTAATTTAGTTGCATGCATACTGCACGTACAGTATATAATGAATGCATATCAAGATAAAAACAGGAATAAAAATAAACATGAAAATAAATCGAAAAGAATGCAGCAGCTATGTTCCAAATTTCTATACAGCTAGCTATTAGCGAGCATCGACAATTTAATCTAAGACTAGGAGATGCATTTTGACACTAAGATTATTAACTTAGGTCTAGTAGAAACATGCATGATTTCAACGGTCCATTGAACCTTTCTAAAAATTAATAATCTTGTAGTGTCAAAATTCGTCTCTAATAATCAGCTGTGTAAAGATCTGGAACACTGCAGTTATTGCAGTTGACAATATAGCAAACAACGTACCTCACAAATTTTATATTTTCAGAATTAATCACACTATACAGAGAGAAAGAAAACAGTTCAAGACAACAATAAAAAAGACACCAAACCAAAGTTCATAGCTGCACTGTAACATAGACATGTAATAATCCTTCGAAACAAACCTGTCGACATTAACACTCGCCATTCCATCAACCTTTGGCATCTTTTTCCACGTTCTACAATGAAAAAAGTTAAGATTCCAAAATGTGCAAAGTCTTAAAGATTTCGGGCGTGGTTTGACAACACGCCTAGACACAAGAATTTGTTAGCACTTGTCTTGTAAACGTATTGCATATTCTAGAAGAATGGTGTTACCGCATTTCCTCTATTTAACCCCCGAGGGCTTATTTTCCCCCCAGTAGTTTTGGACTGGGGAGGGGGCTTATAAAGAGGAGGTGGGGCGTTAAATAGAGACTGGGGACTAAATACATTTTCACGTTCTTGTAAAAGAATGATGTTTGTGATACAACACACACACAAACACAAAACCAACACACACACAAAAATGGTAAAAAAATGTTACAGTAAGTTACAGAACCATGACTCGAGGAACATTTTGAGAAATTTTCATACAATTTGCCATTATTTAGCCACATCAGTGAACGTTACCTACTCTTAAAATACTCATTAAAAATTCATAAACCTTGTGGCAAATCATGTCAGCCGTAATATGCCACGTGGAGTGACTTTATATCTGATAATAAAACTCATCTCATTAGTATTCTTTATATAATTGTTCATCCTAATTAGTATGATTATATAATTGTTCATCCTAATTAGTATTCTTTTGTAGTCGTATTTTAAGCTATTCAAAACACTCAAACTCGCGTTTTATCATATCTAAAACGCTCGGCTGCGCCTCGCGTTTTAAATATGATAAAACACTCCTTCTCGTGTTTTAAATAGTACATCATTACTAGTGAACGTCATAAAAGAACGTTTGTATTCATATTTTACCCTAACTTTACATTGAGAATGATTCAATTAATAAATGATGGGGCTAAATATAGGGTGGGGGATTATTTTGTTTCAGCGCTTTAGACTGGGGGGGGGGGGGGGTAGGCTGTCTCAGGGCCAGAATGAGGCCGAGGGCTAAAAAGATGAAATATAGCTAGTATACGCGGTAATTCAAATCGAGAAACTCGGCTGCAGAGTTTACATTACCTCAGTGATTCCCCAGTTGACGAAAGAATGAATATACTAATGCAACCCTATAGAAAAAAATCAATCATTTTAAAATTTGCACTTCAAGGACAATGATCTTTTCCCGTTATATCAAATAAATTTAGACATAAATACAGAGAATAGTCACATAACATAACCATGCTAAACGTTACGCACTATTTAAAGCACGCGTAGGAGTGTTTTATCACATATGAAACACGACGCGTAGCGGAGTGTTTTATATGTGATAAAACACGACTACAAGTGCTTTAAATGGCTTAAAAAACGACTCATCTTATACGAGTTCATTGGCGAAGTAATTTTTAAAATAAACTTTGTCTAAACCGAGAAAATCAAAGCTAAAGTTTACGTAAATTAACATGATTTTTTATCACATATATAACCACGACACGCTTATGATTTTTCTTTGTGTTTTGCATAATATATCAGACTAAAATATATCAGACTAAAATATCTTCACTGCACTACATCCACAGGAAATTAGAACATATTTGATGATGAATACAGCTGCAGTATAATATCATGCACCAATCATGCGCATGTGAAGTTTGGAGAAAGTAATTATGGCAGTACTTAAGGTGGCTCCCTACAGTTAGTACAATTTAAGAAGTACGATTTTTTGAGATCAGACTTCATCCTCGCAACCCACGCGTGGAATAGTCGTGACTGGGTAAAACTATTGAAACAAGGCGTTTTTATCTGCAAAGAGAGCTCCAGTTTTTCATTATAATCCCAAATTTTTCTGAACTCGAACAGTACGTATGTTATTAACTAGTTTTTACCTATCTTTTGGTGTGTTTTAACAAAAAAAGGAAAATAATATGAATACTTAACGTACCTGACTATCACCATACATAATTACACATTCATCTTGACTGGTTGAACTAGTTAAAACACAAATTAAGTTAGTTAAATTACGAGAAAGATTGAACAAGTTTGTGTTGCATATGACCGTAAACTCCCCAAGGATTAAGGAGGAAAAATGTCTAAAGAACTAGGTTCGGGCATGAACCTTGCAAAATGAGGGAATTTATTATACTGGGAATCCCGACCAATTAGGTCTAACGATGACGGTGATTATGATGTTAAAGATGTAATGACGAAGTACGCTTTGGTATAATGTTTTTATAGGTCTAGCAGTCTCTGGATTGCCCTATATTTACTGTACTGTCTCATTATGAAACGTCTTACCAATACTCGACTTTTAATGGAGTTGTCTCCAGGCCACTTATTTGACAATAAGGTTCAAATGTTGACAGTTCGTGAAACTGTATTTCCCGATCACTACGAAGAAAGTATTAAGGATCGATGAGTACAACTATCCACTACAACCAAATGTAAGAAACAACCAACGGAAAGCGTTATACCCGGTGGAAATAATCAGCTTGTTATATTGAGGCATTAGGACGAAATCTGTGATCCACTTTGGTTTTTTAGAAGACGTTTCGATCTAAAATACACCAAGAACTATATTTTTGTAAACTGAATTTATATGTGATTGGAGAATAGAATTGAGTAAGAATAGCTGCATAAGATTCACGTACATGTTTTGATCTTTTAAAATCCAAAGAAGGAGACCAAAAAGACACCATTCCATCCTGAAGATAAAAAATAAGATTTACCCTATTTCTATGTTATAATAGCTGTTTTCATATTAGAAGATGGACAAGTCGTCTAGACGAACAAATTGTCTCAAAATCGTCTTTTAGTCGGACAAATCATCAGATGTGAAAACGTGTCGTACAAAATTTTAGACGAACAAGTCGTCTGAATTTGTTCGACTACTTGTCCGTCTGTGAAGACGATTTTTGAGAGACGGTTTGTTCGTCTAGACGACTTGTCCGTCTCTAATGTGAATAGGGCTAATGACTATCAGATCATGCATCATCATCATCACTAAAGTCGCTGTAGCACCAGCTACAGTGTAATCACAATTACCATGGACCGATTAATAATCACAATAGTATATACTTGGGAGATGGATTGTATTTTTCATGCAATTTGATTGGTTGTTCAGCTCCGGATATCCTTGCACTATTCACCTCCGGACAAAAACAAACGAAGCTGCGGTTTCGCCAAACACAAAGAAAGCCACAAAGTTTTGTTTAACAATTGGTAGAAGTTTCTTTAAAAGCTATTTCTAATGAATAAAATTACTAAAAGCGTGTAAATACTGTTTAGTGTTTACAACTATTACGGGAGCTGAAATACAAATTGTTTTTAAAATATTTTCGATGTTTTTTGGTCATTTTTGTTTTGCAGTGGTCATCTTTGTTTGGTATGTGTTAAAACAATTATTCACCTCAGTGTCGGTGAGTAATTGTTAACTATGACATATCATTACTATTACAACTATACAATAACCTGGTCCATGGTAAATGATGGTCAAAATGTCCATGTTCTTACCTGACTGACACATAAAGACGTGTTGTCTGAAGTGTGACATATCGTCAAGACTTGCTCACGATGTGGAGAGTTCTCAGTTGTTGCTGGGATGTGAAATGCAGTCTGTAGAAACAAAAGCAGGGAAAATTACAAAATACAAAATGAAAACAGGCAGACGAGTCCTCTTTGCTTGCCTGCCTAGCAGTATTCATAGGCACGAGGTAGTGTAGTTGGGCAACTGGAAACAGGGTTGCAAATTTTTCTTCTTCAGAGAGCTAGATAATTATGGTAACCAGCCTATGGCAACTACACAGGACATGGCAACATAAGAAGTACTGTACCAGAAATATCTATATAGATATGATGCATGGACTACCCTTTTATGCTAATTGTGGAACTGACCTCTTTAGATCGAAGGTAGGATTCCTCTTTCTCGGCATATTCTAACTGCATGTAAGTACAAAACTCATCCTAAAGATACAGAAATACGAGGAACTGTTTAGTGTATAGTTCAGCTACTGTACTGTACATGATATTTTGAACTAATGTGGATTTCAGTGCAGGTAGAATTTGAAAATATCAAAGTATAAAAATCAAAAGTACTTCGATGTTTCAAGCGAAAGCTCTTCGTCAGCTCAGATAGAAACCATTGATTGCAAGTTATCATGATTAAATTTTTACAATTCTCATTGGTGGGATTTTACTGTGATTTGTATCGCACTGTGTTGTATATTAGACATCCATACCCAGTTGATTTCACCATCAGAAGAGGAATCTATCTTCATAAACAATTCCGTAACTTGATCTTCGCTCTGACAATAGAAAAATTAAAAACATGCATGATTAACTCACTTTTATAGTTAACTACTTTGTTACTCATAACTAGTTACTCATTTCAAAACTATTTTGTTGTATATTCGTACACTTTTATGACATGTCAGGCTGTCAGTTAAATTGAGATAATTAAAAAAATCAACAAACAAAGAGCGCACCTTTCCCTTTAAGCCAAAAAACTGTTTGAAAACAGATTTAAATTCATCAACATCAAGTGTTCCACTATTGTCAACATCGCCTTCCTAATAGAAAATGAAAATGAAAACGAGCACAAGTTACTGTAGCTATTGTACTTTCTTTATTGATGTTTTCCATTGACATGAAGTTAAAAGTTAATATTTGGTGCTAATCATATACTGTGGGAAGGAGGTATCAAGGAAAAGAGGACTACCTATTGGGGGCGGCGAACGTGGAAAATGGGAACCGGTAGGGGTGAGGACCTAGAGTATACTCCAGGAGCATTTTCGGGGCATTTGGGGTTTGATTTCCTTCATTTTTCAAACATTTTGATAGACCCTATTCAGGTAAACTGAACGTTCAGCATCAAAGCATATTTGGTTATGGGGATATTAAAACACTCTAATCTGAACTAACGCCTTTTCTTATATTTTAGACAAAGGGAATTTTCGTTAAGGGACCAACACAGTTTACTGTATGGAAGGGGGAGACCTACCCCTGGCTTATATGTTAATAAAGGCCCTGCTTTTGGTGTGAAAACGTTAATATGCGTATGGTACTAACCTCAAACGCTCTCCTCATTTTATTGAGTTGTTCCAGTGTTATTTGATCTTCTAACTAAAATGATATAATTTAGACACGATTTTTGCCTACTAATAACCGGCAAGTCATCTGCCTAATGCAATTTGCAGATTCGCAGTTTTGATTAGAAATACAAATCAAATAAATAATAGACTTTTCCTGAAAAGCCCAATACAACATGAACTCGGTTTGGCAAAGTTTCAGTTTTGGCATTTTCCAAGTGGTGGCATTCCTTGACCAGTTTGAGAGTGCGTGGGGGGGGGGGCATGGCACCACCATTTTAAACGGCAAAAAGGGCGTTGCCATACTGGGTTCCTTCCAATCGAGTTTTAATTAGACTAGTTTTAACTGATTTGGAAAATTTAGTTGATTTTCAATATCTTTGAAATAATAATAGGTACGATGTGATACAATTTGATTAAAATTCCATATTTTAAAGTACTATTCATATGCTAGAAACGTCTTAATAACAAATTTATTTCATACAAGATTCACTGGACAGTAGCGCTGTTTTCGAAGTAGACTCACAGCTGCTTCTCGTACAGTTTTAGCCTCTCCTTACCATGTTACGGCCATAATCCACAAGAGAATTATGCATCTACTACAACTATGAAATTACATCTTCCTAGCTAAGTACAAATTATTTGTGCCATTAGTGTAAAGCGCCAGTGTCATTTTTTTTTGTTTATTCAATGAAGATTAAAAAAGCAACCTAATTATATACATGCAGCAGCATCAGTGTTTGATAAAGACTTATATAAAAAATTTACCAACACCCTCCCTCATATTTCATCGGTCAGCGTTCCATTTTCCAATATTACGGACAATCGCAGAACAGGTTTGTACATGCAAGACAGCCATCGTTGCAAGATTCAGCAAGGTCTTTGTCCCTGTCAACAATAAGTACTGCATGCCCGTTTGTTATCTTCCAACTGCATTGGAAGGTCATAATCGTCATTATTTTCAGAACAAAGTGCAACAATGAATTTAGGAGTGGTCCACATTGGAGGCTGGTCAACAGTATTGCTGCCGGAACGAAGCAGAATTTATAATTGCCAATTTTAGAACCGACAGGAGCGGTTTCTTTTTCTATACACTTGAAAGTGTATCATTCTTTCGACGAGCAACAGATTCAACATTTCTTTCTCCTCAATGTTCATTGCTCGTGCCATCAGCAACATCAGGTTTGCTATCCGTTGCTTCTTTATCAGCTGCTCTTTTGCCATGCATAAAGGACGTTTGAAAGACTTTTATAATGCTGTCTTTTACTTTAGCATCAGCACATTTAGTTAATTCATTCTCGTCAGCGGACAATTCATTCTCATCAAGGACGTTGACTTGAAGCAGACTTTAATTTGGCACTTAGAACCAACAGGAGCGGTTCTTTTTCTACATTTGAAAGTGTTTCATTCTTTCGACGAGCAACAGATTCAATTATAGTTCTTTCTCCTCAATTTTCATTGCTTCTGTTGTTCAAGCTCTGCTTGTTTTTGGAGTTCTTTCACATTTGCTGTATTTTCACTCAATTTCTTCTTCGTGCTTTCAATGACAGAATCAAGTTTTCGAGGAAATTGTTTGTGCTTATCCTGACAATCCAAAGCTTCTTTTAACTGAGATTGTATCATTGACGCATTATTTTGCTGTTCATAACTCGTCATTTTTTAACAAATAAAATTAACAAAAACTTTAACCATGAAAGACGCAACGTGCTATCTCTCGTAGTCAGCCAATTATGACAAAGTTCATTATTACGTCAAAGCTTTTTACACTCTTCTATTAATTAGCGCACGCTCATCTTTATGATGTCATTAATTAACCTAACAAAACGCATTTTCTACCAGCTAGGTAACTTTTTTCACGCAAATCGACTTTTTGAACGGCATGACGTAATACTAGCGGTATTGGCAGAATGAAAATCCAATACAAATGTGCGGGAAAATCGCGTATTTTAACTTACTGTCATACGTAATCTGCGAATTAGCCCCGGTTAAAAAAAATACTAGATAGTAGATGCCTGTGATACTGATACCATGCAGAATACTCTCGTACTGGATTGCTGTGAAAGTTCTGGCACGTTCTATAGGCGCCATGTAACAGGTTTCAAGGTTCCGTCAAATCCAATTCGTTCAGCTTCCTTATTCTACTTCTACAAAGTTTTTGCCTGTTTCACGTAACAATCAATATTTTTTCTTAATAACTTAATGCTGCACGGCCAGCGATATATTGTCTTGTTATCAAAACTCGTCGATCAAAACTGTGCGATCAAATCTCGTCGTTGCCTGCAAGCACGGTTCGGTTGTGCGCTCTCTACTGTGATCTGAATATTCAATCCGTATCGTGTATATACCCAAAACGCAAATGGGATGGATTTTATATCGCATTGGAGTTGATTACATATGAGAAGTATGGGACCGTGTAATTGGGGTCTTAAAACGATGATGATACTAAAGTGAGGACATGAATGGATCAGACAAAACAATGTTTTATTTATTTTAAATTTAAACAAAAGATCAAATCTGTACCATAATTTATACCATAATCTTATCCAAAATTTAGTAATTCACATGAAAGTGAATCACCGAAATGAAATGAATCAGCGGCAAAAATGACTTGCCTTCCAGTAATTTGGAGGTCTTATACGGAAAATGAGCCGCTATAATAAGCGCAATAGACCTTTCCCCTTATGAGTGAAATTTTGATCTAGATATGCCTGGACAGAAATGTCATCACAGCTTGAAAGAGCATCACAAAATTAGTAATATTCCGAAGTTTCGTTGCGAAATGTTGTAAAATGCGGATAATATATAGCCTTGCGAAGTTTGCCGTTTTTCAGTCATTTTGCATTACAAATGGAAATTGATAATCAGATACATATGATCAAACTGATTATCAATTTCCATTTGTAATGCAAAATGACTGAAAAACGGCAAACTTCGCAAGGCTATATTATACGCATTTTACAACATTTCGCAACGAAAATTCGGAATATTACTAATTTTGTGATGCTCTTTCAAGCGGTGATGTCCAGACTTGTCTAGATCAAAATTTCACTCAAAAGGAGAAATGTCTATTAGTTATTAATTTCTTAGAACATACAGTAGCCCGCGCCACGTTACAAAAATTTGGGCGTGCAAAATGAGGTCGCCAACTTATCATTCTGACCTTCCTGTTGCTGCAAATTTCATTTCTTTATTTTATTTTAAGCCGGTTTTCCACTAGACGGAATTTTGCGCGCGAAGCGGAATTTTTCTTTGTCTTTTCTAATTAGCCTTCCACCCGAGAATTTACAAGACAAAGGAAAATTGCGCTCCGCGCGCAATATTCCGCCTAATGGAAAGCGGGCTTAATAAAAACCTTTTTTAGCTTAAGTTTCAAGCAAATTTAATAACCTATCAAGGTTCAAAATATTGTTATGAAAGTATTATGCGTGGTAGTACCAACACACTTTATGATTGGTGTAGATTATTATTAAAATCTCTAACAATATAGATTTTATAACTTTTAAAATAAGACTTTGACTCTTAAAGAAATTTTAGTTAGTAAAGTAGTTAAGTTGTAAATTTTTTGTAAAAGTTGCGCAATTCAGTGTAAAACTGCAAGGTAACTTATTAAATAATCTATCTATCTATCTCTATTATAATTACAGCTTTGTTCCGCAATTGTCAGAAAGGTTAAAACTGAAAGGTTTTCAGAAATAATTGGGGGAGGGTTTTGCCCAACCATCAGTATTTGCAACTGACTTTCAGTGTGCATGTGTACTGCATGGTATATTTTATCAACTGGTAGTGCACTGCAGTTTTGATTTGCTATATAGACAAGGATTATTTTTCTGCAAGGAAAGAAAATTTTGTATCTATGCCTGATAGTTGGTAATTCCAAATGAAAATGAAATTAATATGTAGTGTACTGTATTCTGAACTCTGCTCAGTTGTAATTCCAATTTTGAAATTTCAACTCCAATGGAGCTATTCTTCTCAGAGGGTTTTCAGTACATATTCCACCATGACCCTTCTGAACAGTCTTCTAGCTAAAATTTCATGGTTTTGGTCATGCACCTAGCCACCTACAGTATTATCATGGATATGGCGAAAAACATGGTTCTTTGTAGTCAATTGTCAAATAGTCATATTTCATTGTTACAGTAACCCTTACAATTAAACAGCAGTGACAATTAACTTTTGTATATTCGAGATATAAGTTGCAGCATACTGATCATTTATTAATTTAATACAACTATGAAAAAAAATCTTAATTTTCAAAAGTACAGTACACAGTTCCTGTATCGATCTGTCCATAATATTGTTCAAGAAATTGGATCTCATGTAATTTTTCCTAGTAACTCCAGACGAAAGGCCTTCACTTGAAACGTTGAAATTCTCCTTATATTTTTCAGGTAGTTGCATCCCTAGCAACGAAAGCTTGTTATTTATAATATATTGGCACTACCTACACTGGCACAGACAGTTCAATATTAAAAACATCCTTTCGCAATATATTCTGAAGCAGTGGCAGACACTTCGAGAAACATTGGGGGCACATATTTAGGTTAATTATTTGCCACCATATGACCACATTTTGTTGCTGGAAATCTTCTATAAACTTTTTAGCTAAATTTCATCCAATATAAATCAATAGCTTAATTTTAAGAATAGCTTACAATGCTTTTGCAGCTAAATTTTTGTTACGCAATTATTCAGCTATCAATAAAAGGTTTTCAATCATTACTGGGGGCAGTTGCCCCTCCACCTCTAATATTCCTAAAATACCTGGCGTTGGGCCAAAGGGGGGAAATACAATTTTGTTTCAAATATTTGTAACATTCATACCCAAACTACTTTTATTAAAACCCAGTATAATTCAATACCACTAGCTGGCATAAATGCCAGGAGAGAATGCCATTTTATTATCCTTTCACCACAGCTATGTCTTGGTACAGTATGTTTTAAATGTGTCCTGTACTTTATCTGCCCATATGTCTATAGTTAACCCATTTTTGTTGCATTGTGCTGCAATAATAATAACAATAATAATAATAATAATTATTTATAATAATAATAATAATAATAATAATAATAATGAATTTATTCCAACATTTCTACATAGTACATGTAGCTCTACATTTGGAATATATATTAGTAAAATAGTACTGGTATCTAATATTATAAAAGTATAAAACTAGTCCTAAGTACAGGAAAAGTTAATAAGTAATTAATTGTAATTGTGTGCCCTTGCTACTTTAATAAGCCTGCATGATCCTCAATGTAACACAAACACATAAGCACAAACAAAAGAGGGATCAAACATATTGATTTCTTATGTACTGTCCTCACTACAAAGCAAATTAATATAAAACATACATGTAAGCATAAGAATATTCAAAGCATAGAATAAATTCCTTATGCTAATATGTTAACTTGTTGCTTCTGCTTGCATTTTATCTTGTGCACATTTTAGTGAGGACACAGTGAGAATAACACAAGCCTAAGAACATCAAAGTGTTCTGCTTGTTTATCATTGTGTTTATGCTAGCTTGTAGAGAGGACACAGTTTTATTATTTTACTCTGTCTAACAAGTTTTACTTGTCAATGTGAAAGTGCTGGTGCTTGGTTCCAAACGGGCTACCTGTACTACCGTGAAAATTTTTTTGACTGATTGATTGATTGAGTGTACAGTCAGTGTACAGTGTCACACAAATACATAATGATATAATCTGAATTTCTGCAGGTACATTATAATTATAATGTTTATATATAGCTCACAAAAATAAACAAAATAAGATATATTTCTGAAAGGAAATTTGAAGTTATAAATGGCATCTACAAAATTATCACCAATTCTTTAAAATTATCTGGCATTAGAAAGAGTAATATAATAATATTAACAAGCTAGCTTTCGTTGGTAGGGATCGATGCAACTCCCTGAAAAATATACAAGGAGAATGTCAACGTTTTGAGCAAAGGCCCTTCGTCTGCAGTTACTAGAATAATGTTTAATCGACATAAATAGACCTTCATATTTGG